TGGCTTAGCGAGTTATAGTTGTGCGTCTGTTAGGGATAGAACACTGTTCAGAATAAAGCTATTATTACGATACATGTTATTTGCACATATTTTCCCATGCTTAATGATGCGATTACTAACTAGAGTTTTACTAGATAGTTGGAGGCAATCGGAAGGAAGCTTTAGACCTAAATTTCGTGCTAGTTGGCACTCGCCAGTCAGCAAGGCATATCTGCAACCTTGAAGGAACTCATATCCGTTTTCTTAGATTCGAACCCGCGTCACCCAGTGAGCTCTGCAGTCGGAGACGTTACCACTGATCTATTCAGGCTCTCGATTGACCTCCTGCAGGATTGCAGTGAGTATTTTGATTTTTCAGTAGTAACTAGTGTGACGTATCTATTCCTATCTTTGGTGCAGACTGAATTCTATCAGTCAGCTTTTGCAATGCAGCCACCATTCTAGGTAGTTCAAAAGAGACATGAGTTTCTTCAGGGTTGTAGATACGCCTTGCTGAGTTGTGAGTGCCAGCTAGCACGAAACCTAGGTTCAAGGCTCCCTGCCGTTCGCCTCCCACGTCAACTCCTAACTTAGTGATAGGGAGTGAAGTGATAGAACATGTTGACCACTTCACCTATTTGGGAAGTTGTATTAGCACCAACGGACTGATTGGCGATGAAATCTCAGCACGGATCCGAAAAGCTCGAGCTGCTTTCGCTGACTTACACCATCTCTGGAGTAGGCGTGATATCCGGTTATCAACCAAGGGACGTGTGTACTGCTCAGCGCAGTTCGCTCCTTCCTTGTCTATGGCTCTGAAACATGGCCAATACGCGTTGAAGACATGAAAAGGTTGACTGCTTTCGATCATAGATGTCTGCGATCTCTGTCTCACGTTAGGTGGTTTAATAAGGTAAGTAATGTTGACGTTAGGCGTAGTGTTGGGCAAAGAGGGAAAATCAATCGACGAGGCTATAAAGTTACATAGACTAAGATGGCTAGGTCACGTGCTGCGCATGCCTAACCACCGCCTCCCCCGACGGGCATTGCTAGCTGATATAGGTTCAGGTTGGAAAAGAGCCAGTGCTGGCCAAACAAAAACATGGCCTCATCAATCCATGAAATCCTTGACAGTTAAACTGAGTCAGGTAGGGAGATGCAGACTCCCGGGTTGGGGCCCTCGGGACTCTAGGGATCAATGGCTGGAGACAATAGGTGACATGGCTCAAAATCGTTGTCAATGGCGCAGATGTATTCAGTCTCTGTAATCTTTCATATTCCTTTCTACCATTACCCATTCAGTTTCGCTCTTATACTTGTCAAACTCTATTGATTCTCTTCACTCATCTTCTTGTCTACCTCTGTGTGCTATTTGGAACGTGGCAACTCGAACTGGTGCACTTCGGTGCCAAGTTCTATGTTGAATCCAGACAGACCATCTAATATATCCTCATATCAATGTGCACCGTGGTGTTGAGCTACCTGGAATGGTGGCCACATTGCAAAAGCCTACTGATAGAATTCAGTTTGCACCAAAGAAAGGACTAGATACGTCACACTAGTTACTAGCGTCCAATCAAGATAACTAGAGATTTGCTTGATGAAATCAAAGCCTCAAAGCTCACAATTTAAAATTCTCACGTCCACAGATTCTAAATGATATGACAGTATGAAATAAAGGATAGATTTTCTGTACTTACATTAACTTTCTAAAATAAGTGAATACAAACAGCTTTCCGAGATTTTGTTTCGTGTTCATATTTATCACAAAGGATATTATCTTACAGAGTTGGCGTGTAGAGATTTGTTAAGTTCCAGGTTTATTCAACAGCTGACATCAGTTACAGAACCATGGAAACAACATTACAGAGTATTGGACAGACGTTTACTCCATCTCAGTTTGGAACTCATCTACAGTACCTACCCACCGGAGTTTGAAAAAACCACGACCTTCCGGCTACAAGAAACGTTCGAAGACTACTCGGCTACTGACAGCCGATCCTGTGGTCGGTCCATATATTCCAAGATCTGTCAATTCGTGATTGTAGAGTTACTACTAGTGAAAGTCAGAATTCATGGACTGCTTATTCAGTCGGTTCTCAATGGCTTAATTGTCTGCGAGTTTGCGCTGAGACTAGAAGGTCCTTGGTTCAAAACCTGGCGGTGAGTCTCAAACTGGGAGGAAACAGCTGTCCAGTACCCCTTGATGGTTTTCAATAATTCTCTAACTGACATCAACCCACGGTCAAACTTAAGAGAAGTAAGATTATTGCATTCAATGAATGGAACTGATGAGAAGTTGAAATCTGGACATCAATAAAGACAGCATGAGTAAACAAGTGTATTTAAATACCTTGGACATCATATAGTTTTATCTGAATCCACAATAGAATTGGCAAAGGAATAAAATTGTATCGCTATATAGCGAAATTATGTACACCTTATCTTCAGATCATCACTTGTACAGATCTCCAGTTTTTGTACTACTTCTAGACTTCGTATTGTGTTTTTTTTTGTCTTCCTTTCCACTTCTCACATGTTTTATCACAATACTGAGTTATTTGCTCTTCTGACTAATATTTGATACTTTTATTCCAGGGTAGGCGAAGATTGAAGTCTATTGATTTTTGTACACACAGTTTAGGCTGTATGTGATTAATCTCAAGGGCCCGAAAAATATGCACGAGTGACACACTGATGGATGAGCTTCGACATGTACATTCAGTTTTATTAGCTAATGGTTATCCGGAGAGCTTTATCACATGTCACAGCAAAGAAAAACCACATCTCGAAAAGACAGCTTCTGTACCAAAGAAAGCCATCTTTATTAATCTACCATTCAAGGGCGACCAGATTATGCAGTTGACAGCTCAAAGACTTCGGTCAGCCATCAAACGCACATCCTACGCCGCATCTCTTTTTCTCACTTGCCGAACATTTTCGATCCCTGTACCTACGATTAAAGGACGAAATTTTGTGGACTCTATACTTCAAACTGTATCTACAAGTTCACCTGCAGCTGCGGTGACACCTATATAGGTAGAACTAACAGAATGTTCCAATGTCATCGTCGAAAAGAGTATGTTCCAAAATGGCTAGTAAATCATATAGAAAATCCCAGTGCGATTAATCTGAATAGAAATCCAGCATCATCCATTGCAAAACACTTATTAATGTCAGGTCACAAAATCAATATTAATGACGGCTTCACAATTATTATTTCACATAACTCTAATTCAAGGGTGGTTATTGAAGGTGATGGAAGCACTTTGGATTGATCACGTAAAGTCTAATCTGTGTGTTCAAAAAACAGTAAACTTCAATCTTCGCCTACCATGGACTGCATGACCTATCTTAATATGATTGGTCATTAGTATGTACTTTTGTTTTTATTTAACTGAGTAATTTTCATGAACTTTATTTTATCATTGTTAACCATGTTAGTTGTAAAGCGGTTGTAAAGAAACTACGAAATGATATCATCTCGCGAAATTTGTCTTCTTAATGCCTTGTTCAAATTTATCAAAGGGACTAATTGTTTTAACTTTTATTCCAATGAAAGTCTGTTTATATACTATTGATAAGTCGGATAAGTAGCACGTGCCACAACATCTCAAAAAAGCATTCACTCTAGCGAAATTTTGAATGTAATATAACACCGTTTTATGCCAACAAAGGTGAAAGCTGAAATATACCTGCATGAGAACAGTAAAAACTGACAAACACTGGAATGTTTTCATAAGATTTATCTAATTTTTCGTTGACCACATGTTTGCAAAAACAGATATCCACTACTTGTTTGACCATATTTGTTCGTTAACACTGGTGATTATCTGTTATGTACTCGTCGAGTAGTTAATACTCCTGACGCGGAAAGAGGGAAATCAGAAGACCACGAGGTTTACGATGAAACTTGTATTTTCCAGACAAGGAAAATAAATGTCACACAAGAGTGTGAGTGAAATGGTACTAGTGTACGAAATGTGTGTGTACAAAAATATATGAAAGTGTACAAAGCAAGGATATAATGAAAATGGTTAATACACATGAACCAATAAGATAACGTCTTACCATGATTGGTTGTAATGTCATGTGATAACAAGGACATACATTGTTTATTTAGTTAGTGGACAGACAAAAGCATATTGTCAGTTATAATGGAATATCGATCAATATAACATAGCAAACTATAATAGACTGTCAAAAACAAAACACACATCATGTGGTACATATCATTATCTTAAAACAGTAGTTGTCAAGAACTTAACCCAGAGTGCCTTTTATTCGAATCGATAATTACTGTGATCAGTTGTCGATTTCAACTCCGAAACATAAGAACTTGTAGGAAAGAAATTGTATTGTTTAGCAGGTAGTTAAAATCTTTATCGTACAAAAGTCTACAGAAAAATGCTTTGCTAAGAAATGTACTGCAATTTTATTCTTATTCTTTTGGTCTTCTTCCAGCTTGTACACGATGAATCATTCGCACCTCCGAGTTTACGCCAATGGCGACCAAGGTCAATGAACCAACGTTCAATGTTCACATTCCTTTACAGTAGTATAAGCATAACTGTTGGCCTGCCTGAACCACTAGGCTACCTGGATTTCTATCGAGTACACAGGACCATATTTCTTCTAATTCTTATTGTTTCAAACACTGAGTTATGTCCTTGAATGTCATAATATACTCATGCACACTTGTAATTAGCTTTCAAAGTAACGGTGATCATTTTTCGAGTAGACAAAGGAGAAACCTAATAAGGGATTCGTCTACGCGTCACATAGAACAGCATCAAGTCACGTGATATACTATCGACTGAAATTTAATGCAGGGATCCCAGATGAAAGGGAATATTACGCGAAAAATTATGCTGAAAATTCTCAATATTATATCCAGAATAAATGTTTTATTCAGAATACGGAAACGTATTCAACCATCGTACTAAAACACTCATATGAACAAACTTTTTTACCACCTGCTAATTTTTTTATTCTTTTTAAAATGTTTTCTGTTATTTAAGTGTGTTCAAGTACAACGTGGTGATACAAATTCAAGTTCAGAATTCAATATAACGCTTACATCAAATAATGAGAAAATTGTAGGCAAGGACAAATACGAAGAAGTTTTCATTGAAACAGTAAGTTACTTTTCTATTCTACTACTCTGTTAAATATATACAGTTATACTTATATGTAAAATGAACTAAATTCAATTTTGATTACAGGATGAATGTTTAGCGTCAAGGCATTACACAAGCAAATGTATTGTTTAAACGCACTTTACTTCATTCTGTACAGCACAGCGAACAAATATTTCACTGTTATTATTACTTCCTTTAATTTCTAGAGAATATAGGGCTTCAGCCACGCGTCTCCACTGCGTTCGGTTCTCTGCTAAAGTTTTCACCTGGCTCCCCGTCTGCCCACATGCTTTCATCTCCTCTTCACCTGGCCTCCCCAAGTCACCCTTGCAATGACGACCAACTCGCCGCTTCCCTTTCAGGTTCTACTCGAGTGGTGCTTGTCGTGTGATGTCACTCACTCGATGGGTTCCTTGGAGTATGGCCAATCCACATCCATTTCTTCTTGCCCATTTGTTGCACACTCGGTTCCTGCTAAGTTGGTTCTCTCACTGTCAGAGATCCCTGTTGCTGATCTTTTCTGGCCAACCATCTGATCTTGAGTGGTATTGAGCAAAGACAGCTGTTAATGAAAGTCTATACTTTGTTTGTTAGTTTGTTTGAGGTGCTCTTTATGACGCGCAAAGTCTCTGATCCGTATATTGTAGCATTGACTTCACATTGGAGTTGAAAATCCCGATCTTATTTTCATTTTCATGCTGAGTGCTGTTGACCTCCACACAGAATTGAGAGTAATGAAAGCTTGTCTTCTTTCCCAATCCTTGATTTGATATCCTCATCATCTCCGCCTGTAGTTGAAACGATGCTTCCCAGGTTGGTAAGGAAGGTTGTTTTTCACTAATATAATCATTTTAAATGTCAGTAACAACACATGCCGCAAGTTAATCATCCTCACGATGAAGAGAATCGCACAATATACCCCATATAGTTAACAGCTTCACGAACTAAGGGTAGTCATATAAAATGAATACCAGTAGCTGAACAAACAACGAACTCACCCCATAATTTGGAGATCTTGGGTGTGATTTCCGGTAGCGCCTCATGTGTGTACCGTTGGAGAGTCTCAAACCACGACCGGAGAGATGTTTAGTACTCACTAACTTTGTGTGTCGCGGGTCGCGGATCACTGGTACAATATATTCGGTAACCACGCCACACTTGGTCCAGGGTCCAGGAACTCAAAGCAATAGAGCCTTAACTAAAATAACATAAACTGAACTGACAAAAGTTTACTTTGAATGGTAATGGTAATCTGTCCCATGACTTACAACACTGTGGCAACTTGGTTCACAAATAATAGTCTTCAACTAAATCTAATCCATTGAAGTCACTAATTTCATTTCATTCAGAAAGTCAGACTGCATATAAGAAGAAATGTCTACCCCAGATAATGAAGGCATTCAATTTGATTTTAGATTGTTCCGTCGATTGATTGTACCGAAGTGCTCAGTCGCAGGTTGACATGTCGGCTTCTTTTTCAGATGCTTCAGCAATGTCTGGGCATGTAATTATAATTTAATTGGTGGATGGTGTACTGGACAGTTGTTTCCTCCATTCTAGTTTGGGACTCTTCATCAGTATGTACCCACCGCCAGGAGTTCGAACCCAGGACCTTCTGTTTACAAGGCGGGCTCGCAGACTATTGAGCCACTGGGACTCGATCCAGTGACCAGCCCATGAATTCTAACTTCTGTCAATTCATGACATAACGCGACCATTTCGCAATGTCTTCCTCGATGAGTTACTGCCTCATCGTCAATCTGCTGTAACCCACTGGTCACGGCATCCTACCAGAACCCCAGGTTAACTGCCTGAATGGGGCCAGTTGCTAGTGAGTATCAGATTAATTTTCAAGTATTGATTTTGTAAGGATTTTTTGATTGCATGGAGGATTTCATTATTAGCTGACATCAGTTAGAGAACCACTGTAAAACCTGAGAGTACTGAACAGCTGTTTCGTCAGCCTACTTTAGGACTCTCCGTCAGTAAGCCCTCACCCCACGCAATCAAACAAAATCCCTACAAAACCAATACTTGAAAATCGTAATCAACAAACCAGGCATAATCGAAAGAAAAAATCAAAAAACACATGACACGCGACTATCTGTAAAAGGAAGCCACTTTATATACGACTACAATTCAAGGGCAATACACCATGTGGGATAATTACGAGGACCTCAAGAAAATCAGTTCAAAGAACTTTTAATGCTGGCGAACTACACGTTTTATTCTCTACTCAACCAATGGTGATTCCCTGAATGAAAGTTGAAGTACCCAGCCTAGCCCCTTCAAATTTTATCTACCAATTCAGCTGTGTATGAGATGGAACGAGTTATATTGGCCGTTGCTATAAGAACTTAATTTTTCGTGCTCCCTAGGGAACATCTCCCACTATGGCTAAGTAAATGTGTAGTGAAAACCAGTAACAGTTCGGTATTGGACCATCTGGTTCAAACCGGCCACAAAGCCAGCCAGCGTGGAAAAGTCCTTCTCTATCATCTACCGGGTGCCTAATAAATTGACGAAATCATCGAAGCACCGCAAGCTCAAAACAGCTGAGGCTATTGCAATTCACTTCAAACAACCAGTGCTCTGCGTTCAAAGGAAGCAAGTCCAGCCCCTACTACTGCGTGACCAGCCTTCAGTAGAGACTATAAATTCATGAATTTGTAATATTGTCTTTCCTAATTCTTATGACATTCAGTTTATTCTCATGTTGATGTTATTGAGCTGTTATCTATCATTATTATCTATTCGATGTTATTTAAACAATATTAATGTTGTTCATAACGCTACTTCATTCATTCACTATAATGTATATATATAACTGTTGAGTCTGATGAAGAAGGGGTTATCGAAAAGAGTACTCTTTGTTCAGTATTCATTAAGTATATGTCACCTAATCTGTGATCATAACCAGTAAGATAGTAGGGGCATATTTTCTGTAGTCCAATTCGGACTGGGTTTATTTCTAAACTCGACAACAACTAGCATATGAGTAACTTGAAGAAAAACCCAAGACAACAAAACTATGATTAGCATTAGTCATTAAGGAGAGTTTGGAGGTAGAATATATGACAGGGTAGAGGACAATTTAGACTCAACCGCTTGCAATAGTCGCAATAATCGTAATCAAAATCGAAATAAAATTTGCCAAATGTCAGTTTTTACAGTGAAAATGGAGGCGTCAAGAGATGATTGTCGCGCTGTAAACAGAAGCATCTACAACGAGAAATTATCAGTGTGAATGAATTCAAAAATGAAACAGGAATTATTAATGTAATGATATGTGACACAGGCTTATGTCTTCATACAGGAGATTTCAATAACTGTAGAATGTTAAAAATTCCCAGGAGATCTGGTAAACCTAATTATCTTCTGTGTGTATAGTTAGATTGACAAATTAAATTATATGTGTTAAAATACCAGGCGTTTTTTGGAATGCACAGAAAAATGACACAGAATAACCTTGATTACTTTATTAAATTATCGAGTGTTGGTGTTCAGAGATTCGATTGCTCACAGGTTTTACCACAAGGTGACATCGGTTAGAGAACCACTGAAAAATAAGGGAGTACAGAAAAGATGTCTCCTTGTAGTTTGGGAACCTTCAACGACATGCAGCCAATGAAGTTCCATCCAGGAACCTTTCAATTATAAACCGAGCTCGTAAGGCATCCAGTCATTGGGACTCGGTCCAATGGACAATGAATTATAAGTTCCACCAATTCGAGATGTACATATATATATATATATATATATATATTGCAATCGTCAACCAGTATTATCAAGGAGTATCTGTTCTCTTAACTTACTCGGTGGACCTCGCTGAGTACGAATTCGTACACAGGCTGGCAGCTGCGCTTTATATCTGTATGTATCGCCAAAATTTAGAATTCATGGGCCATTGGATCGGATTCCATCGGCTGAATGGTCTACGCTACTAAACGCAATTTTCTTTATCAGTAACGTAGTACTTTTGATTGCACACAAGTTAGTAACTAGTGTAATGTGTCTAGTCCTATCTTCGGCGCAGACTGAATTTTCCAAGTCAAGCTTGCAATGAGGCCGGCATGCTAGGTGGCTAGCCATTATGGTGCACTGTGAGATGTTGGTATTAGATTGGTAGAATTCAGTTCGCACCAAAGGTAGAACTAGACACATCACACTAGTTACTCACTAATGTGCAATCAAGAATATCCAATACAGTCCAACAGGAGGTCAATCGTGAGCCTGAATAGCTCAGTGGTAACGTCTCTGACAACAGAGCTCACTGGGTGCCACGGGCTCGAGTCCCAGAAAGGACATGAGTTCTTTCAAGGTTGCAGATACGCCCTGCTGACTGGTGAGTGCCAACTAGCACGAAACCTAGGTCCAAGGCTTCCTTCCGATTGCCTCCAACCATCTAATAATAACGTAGTACATTTTAGACAGTCTCATTTTGTCAAGCTGATTCTAACTAAAGTTGAGCTTCGAAATGAGGCGCATGTGGAGCAAACCATTTGTCCTACATACGATGCAGAAAAAAATGGTATTTGCATGCTTCCTAAATTTCACTTCGATAGTACCTCCACAACTCAAATGAAAAAATAAGCCTCCAACAGGCAGGAAATATTCTGAAAAAAATCAACTGGACAAGATGTTTCCTTACATTAATTAATTTCAGTCATCCATGCAAAAGCATTTGTTTTCTTGTTATTCAGACAATTACACACAAATTCTATTGATCAGGCAGTGTGAGCAATTATTTCAAAAAATAAACATGTTCTCACATTAACGTGAATTAAACACCATTATCACATTTAGAAGACTCATTCAATTTAAAATTCATGTACGTCAAATTAGGTACTTTCCTGCAGCTAAGCTCGTCCCCGTCTATCGAATAACAACTTGCTCTGTAGTGCAATCAAAAATCGATAGATATCCTTCTCAAGTTAACTCCAACTGTATACACAAATTTACATGTATCTGTGGGAGCAGTTATATTGGAAGGACAC